TACAAATGCTTCTGCATTCCCTTCAAAACTTTCTTTTAAAACAACAAAAAGAATTCAGTAAGGATTGTTCAAAATCACTTAAGAAAGATGTGGAAGAGGAAGAAGAACAGCAAGAAAATCAATGATTCTTAGGTCGGATCTGATATTAACTACATAATGTTATTTTAAGATAAGAAATAAAAAAATGAAAGTCTGGTTTAAATATTTTGCTCCCCAGTCCAATCACATCTTATCCTATAAAAGCTGATTCTAAAGGACAGAGATTTGCTACAGAAAAACACCTCAGCTGAACAAATAACAAAGAAAGGATGAAGTTCTTAACAAGCAGAACTCAAAACAATGCAAAATACACTCCTGAGTATTTAGCAACAGGTATCTGCACTCTATGTCAAACCAAGTCAGCAACTTCAAAATTATGAATAACAACTAAAGCACCCAAAAATCAGAACTGAAATTAAAACCAAGCACTCAACACTGTCTGAACCTTCTGTCTTAACCATAAGCCTTTAAAGTACATGCTCTACATTACAGATTCATTACAGGTTTCCAATACCTAAAGTGTAAAAAGCACAACTTTTCATACAATCTGAAAAAAGTAAAGCATAGTGTAGCACAGAAACAATGCAGAAGGCTGTTGCATTTAGCTTAGTGAAATCTGCAAAGTAAACTGGGTTTTAGAAACTTCAGCATTTGTAAGGTTAAGAAAATTTCAATTCCCTGAGGTTTGAGTTGAACGCTACACAAATTCAAGGCAGCTCACAGAAGATTTGGGGTATACCAAATTTTGAACTTTATGCAATGCAGGTTACCTAGCAAACAAATAAACAAGTGACACTAGATAAGAAGAAAGAGGCTACAACAATAAATCACAGAAAAGGCTTGAAAGATACCTTTTCCCTATGAAATATAGCCCTAGCTACACAGTTAGCAGAAACCCTGGCATGTGATCTGTATGATGACAACATTCTACTAATAAGAACTGCATCTCCCAGCGGGCTTCTCTCACCTGCTGATACCAGCCTGAGCTTACTTCTTGAAGCAGGTACACTGTAGCTATCTATAATTGAGCGAGCCTTGACATGCCCCTCAAATTTCAATCCTGCAAGAGCATAGCAATGAGAAATCTAAGCTGAGAACCCCAGAGATTTTAAAGGCAGTGGGAGGAGGGGAGAGAAGATGGGTTGATATGTATGCATCCAATGAAATATTCAAGTGGATACCACTTTCTGAGGCGTTTTGACTGTTTTAAAGAAAAAAAAATAGTAGGGAAAATGTTTCAAGCCTTCACTAAACTGAGTGACATGCATTACACGGAAGCACTTCTGTACACAACTACTGAAAGAATTACTGGCTTGAAGTCAAATGGGAATAGGCTGTATGACTTTCATGATACATCTGCATCTCTAAAATGAAGTTTCCTGATTTTATGACATAAGCCAACACCCATCATAAGAAACAAATATGGACTGTATAAACTAAGTATGGTGTATTGCTGGCAAAACAAATCACAAGTAACTAAATTAGTCTCATAAAGAAGAATAACATTACAGATTACTGACTACATTGGATTAGTGGATTTGTTTACAGCCTACTTCCCTTAAATTCTCCCTTTTTTGTAAATAAACATCATGTATTTAAACAGGCTTAATACAGGCCGGGGGATGAAGGAAGACTTGGGGGCACTGGTGGATGAAAAGCTGGACATGAGCTGGCAATGTGTGCTCGCAGCCCAGAAGGCCAGCCGTGTCCTGGGCTGCATCCAAAGCAGTGTGGCCAGCAGGTCGAGGGAGGGGATTCTGCCCCTCTGCTCCACTCTGGTGAGACCCCACCTGCGGTCCTGCATCCACCTCTGGAGCCCTCAGCACAGGAGAGACATGGACCTGTTGGAGTGGGTCCAGAGGAGGCCACACAAATGATCAGAGGGATGGAACACCTCTCCTGTGAGGACAGGCTGAGACAGTTGGGGTTGTTCAGCCTGGAGAAGAGAAGGCTCCGGGAAGACCTTCGTGCAGCCATCCAGTACTTCAAGGCGGCTTCTAAGAAAGATGGGGACAGACTTTTTAGCAGGGCCTGTTGCAAAAGGACAAGGGGTAATGGTTTTAAACTAAAAGAGGGCAGATTTTGACCAGATCTAAGGAAGAAATTTTTCACAATGAAGGTGGTGAAACACTGGCACAGGTTGCCCAGAGAGGTGGTAGATGCCCCATCCCTGGCAATGTTCAAGGTCAGGTTGGACGGGGCTCTGAGCAACCTGATCTAGTTGAAGATGTCCCTGCTCATTCCAGGGGGCTTGGACTAGATGACTTTTAGAGGTCACTTCCAACTCAAACTATTCTATGATTCCATGAAACAGCATGTTTTATACAACATACCAGCAACTGAAATTACCAGGCCCATACTGACGTACCAAAAGAACAGTAATTGAGAGGTACTCCAGTTTCATCTGGCAAGAAACAAAGCTGCCCTTAAGAGTGTATTCCTATGCTGAGTCAAAATTAGAGATCTAAGAAGATATACCTTATGGCAAAGACATACACAGCAGACCTTTTGTATTCTGATAACAAAACACGTGCTGTAATCTCTGTAACTGAGAACAACCCAGCGTCAAACTACAAATTGGTTAAAATTGCCTATCACCAGGCATATTACATCAATGCCTACCTGCATACCTAGACTCAAACACATCCGCGAACACATACGCACACACAAACACATATCTGTACTGATGCCATCGCTCAAAAACACCAAAAACAAGAACTCAAGGTAGTACAATTCCCAGTTGCTCTACACCGTGCCTGGAATTCACAGGGAAGTCTAACAGCATTAGCAAGGATGAACACAGAAATGAATCTCCAGTGCCACATCATGTACCTGGAATGTCAGATCCCATCTAGTGTAAGAGTGTTCATGACATGTTCAAACAACTTGCGAGCGTTTAAATAAACCTAAATCAGGAACATCGTGAAGAAAAAGTGGAAGCTGAGAACGATTCAGAAATTGTGCTGGGACCATCCATTTTAATACTCCACATAAGCAGAAGTGCAACAAAAGCTAAATTGCAGAACCATGTAATATACAGTCATATGAATGTCTAAGTGATCTTTACAGCTAAAAATACAGACAGTGAAGTGTCTAACAGGCAATGTTACTAGTGAGTAAATATCACACCTAGCTGACTTGGTGCTCATGCATTTACACAGCCTTTTTGTATAAATACATGCAGATTTGATTCAATAAAGATACAGTATGTTAGAAAATGGCAAGAGCAGTAAGAATTACAAAAATACATAGGCATGATTGACGATGACAATTCATTCTGACTGAAGCATGAATTATAAATACATGCAGATTTGATTCAACAAAGATATAGTATGTTAGAAAATGGCAAGAGCAGTAAGAATTACAAAAATACATAGGCATGATTGATGATGACTTAATTCATGCTGACTGAAGCAATATGAAAACTTAAAATTATTTTTAAGCCTTCCTGTGCCACAGAGAAAGCTCAATTTATTCCTACAGACTTATACCTACATAAAACATATGGTCAACCTGCAATTAACAGAAAGGTCATTGAAAAAGAACTCTAAGAAAGTTACACTATACAGCTGAACAAAACTATATATTAAAAGGCAATTAAAAGAAGAACTGCATAATATATTACGAAAAAAGATTTTTATATATATAAAAGTTATAAAGAACGACTCAAGTATTTTTTCTAATACACACACACACTTATTACCAAGTATACATACAGTTCCTGCCACCAGGAAAGAGGGAGTTAAAATGCCTTTCCTTTTTTTTTTTTTCCTGTCTTTCCTTTCCTTCCCTCCCCTCTCTAATGAACACCTGTTCAAAAGGAAGGGCTATTAAAAGAGCTGGAAGAGTAACAGGAAGGGTAGAGCATTTGGAGGAAGTCACAGATCCTCAGGCAGGCACTGAGGCTTGGGCTGATCTCCAGGAGAGAGAAACACTGGTTTATGAGTTGCTCTGTTTTCATCAATATATGGTCAGACCAAATTGCTGAGCAGACTTCACTATCTACTGCTCCATCACTCCTGTTGGTTATCTTGCAAGCTCACAGCATATTTTGGAACAGCAAATGGTAAGAGACCAAACTACTGAGTTACAGCAGCAATACATGAAGTATCCACAGGCGTTTTACTCTGAGCTCGCTGCAAATTCAAATTAGTAGGTTCTAAATAGCAAGGGCATAATTTAAGTTCTTCTTCAGGTTGCATCATCATCATAAGTAATGAGCTGCTTTGGAAGACAAGGCACTTTCACTGTTTGAAAAGCAGACAGCATTTTGGGCCAAGAAATCAAGAGTCTGAGCTCCTAGTTTCTAAATTTGTAAAATTTTAAAAGAAGCTTATCAGTATCTAACAATCTGGAAGATTAAGTACAATCTGTTTTAGGATTAAGTGCCTTAGTACTAAGAACAGAGTTGGAAAGGAAAAGACAGACCACGCTGACTTTATCTGACTGGTGTGAAGAAAGTGATTTTGTACCCTTGCTGCCGTTATCATAGTGAGAAACAGGTATAATTACAGATGTTCCAGGAGAACAGCAAAACATGAAAAATTCTCACAGCAAAGTTGTTAAAAACTACTATTTGGAATAAAAGCTTGAGGCTGGCTGAAAACTGAAAAAAACAAAACCAAACCCAATAGGGTGAACATTTCTATAATGTCCTCAATAGTCTCACTTATAGTCGTGGGTCTAAAGCTACATTCATGGTGGTAAAATTAATTTTAGGGGGGGTCAGAGACCAGTGGCACCCTGCAAATATTAACCAGCTCTTTTGCTGTCTGTCAGTTTATCACCAACCAGTGCTTTACACCTTTGGAAGTTACAAGATGAAAACCTTCTACTTACTATCACAAATAAAAACATTACTCAGTAATTTCTGTTCTTTTTGAGCCCAAATATACTGCACAGATTGTATACATAACAGAGTGTTTTAAGCAACACATGATTTTTAAAACAGTAAGACTTACCAGTCCACTTAAGGCTAAAATCCAGATGTAGGAACCAGAGGTTAAGAGCTAGAAGATAAGAGCAGTGATTTAAAATTTTTATTTTACAAAGCTGTTGTTGTCTGAACTACTAAGTTGCAATATTATATAGGCTATGTACTTGTCATGACAATGGGAGGAGTCAGACATTTATGTTTGTGAAATTGAGTGTAACATTAAAAAAGATGTATTCCAGAAGTAGCAGAAGTGGAAAAAACGCAACGACCCAACAATTGTTCTTCTTCTACAGAACAATACATTTGGTTTTCATATAGCATACTAAGTATAACAGGATGTCAGTTATAGGCTGCACAGAAAAACAAGCGTGAAGGATAGACTGAAGCACAGGAAATGACTCAGCAGCAACAGGAGAAGAGTTCCAAGTGGGGCAGGCAGTGTAAGTGAAGCTTTCAGGCATGCAGTCACGGAGAAACTGAGCGTGAGGATCAAAATTAAAGAAATAAAGTTCTCACTCAGTGGCATATTTGTCATCATGAAATCACAAATACAGGTTGGAGTGAATTTTTTAGAAAATCCTGATAAGTCAACAGGGCAGCCTGTTGTTTCTAGTAAAGTATGTGATTAATCACCCGGAGAAGGTTATTACCAACTGGAAAAATGGGCTGAAAATTTGACTGATACTGGTTACTTTAGCTCTGCATGATGCTGGCTGAATCATGAGAACACCTTTGCTCTAG